TATACCTTATTTTCTAACTTAAAATTTACAAAACAGTATCTTTCGTATGAGTAGAATTTTATTTTCTTATTTTCTTGGAAGATTGAAAATGCAAAAGCTGCGAATTTTTAGGTATTTATATAATATTTAATTTAGGTATAGCTCATTTTCTAATTTAGAATTTACAAAACAGTATCTTTCGTGTGAGTAGAATTTTATTTTCTTATTTTCTCGAAAAATTTGAAATAGAAAAGCTACGAATTTTTAGATATTTATATAATATTTAATTTAGGTATACCTTATTCCCTGACTTAGAATTTTAACGAATGAATTTAATGCAATAAAAATTCACGATACCCAACGTGCGATGCTCTGATATACATAAATATAATTTATAGGACCAGCCTATAATGCATAAAAATAAATTAAAATATATCTGTCATGCAAGGTCTCACTCACGAATTAAATATACACCGAAGCTATAAATTCTTCGAATTTCTGAATTGCAAATTTATGTATCCACTTGGTGCCCCTAAAGATAACTCTGCAGTCTTTCAGCATAGTTTTAATAGTATTTTCGTTAATCACGCCATGCTGTTACTTTACCCATGCAAATCGTTCTGCATCCATCCTACTATCCGTTCAATTAACGCAATTGATGGGCAACATGATTCATCTTAACTGGAAAATTATCATGCTGAGTTACAGATTCAATTTACGCAAGATGAATTTTCGTATCTGCGAAACTGACCAACTATACCTGTAGATGGACGAGTTTTCAATAACAGTTTTACGATGCAAATCGGCCCTTCGTAATATTCCATATTTATGCATGAGTTTTAACGCCCATTCGATCCGCGTGACTTTATGAAGCGGCTCGGTTCCGTTGTTACAATGTGTTCCCATACTTGTCGCGTATAACTAACGTCACGTATTAATAGACTGCCCGAGACGGATTCGCTATAATGAAATAACCGGTCACTAACGAATGCGATTCAAAGGACAGCACGATGTGTTTCGTTTTAAACGACAACGTGTGACAGTAAAGAATCGTGCTCGCCACGGAGCCACGGATGACACGCGTATAATAGGTTATGATATCTCCGGTGGCGCTGCGATCGCACGGGAAAATGGAGCGAATTCTGAAAGTGTATCGGGAGCGATGTTGAATGACTTTATTAGCGACCAGTTCGATGACTCAATATTCCAAGTATCGTGCAAATAGGAATAGTAGAAATGTCATAAATGTCATTTCGTAAGTCTCTCCTGCACTTATTCGAATTATATGCCATTGTGCAGCAATATTTATAGCATTATACGGAGTTCCTAGATATTCCTGGCTATAAACTACTACCGTATAAGCGTGTATCCTAACCTCGTCATTTTCATGCGACTTTGGAATTGCATGCTACAAATAGCTTCGAATTTTAATTAATTATTTTTTATTGGTTTCCAAAATTCATATTTTTAAAAATATTATATTACGTAGGAAGATTGTAAATTAGGAAATTTGGTTATAGTAATTAATCATAGGGAGTATTGTTAGGGGAAATAATACTAGTAACTATCTTTATAATATTAACACTTTGACTACCACGAATTTTTATATAATATATTGTAGTACACTTAGGGGGCTAAGATAAAATTTCAATTATACTTAGGATATGGTAAATTATTAAACGATATGGTAAACAAAAAAATTGAAAAATGGTGCAAATTGTTAATACCTTCTATTCAAAGTTTTCTATTTATTTACCTTATTAGAATTTTCAAAAAATGGTTGTAATAAAACAAATATAAATTTTAAAAATTAGTATCATCGAATACTGGCGACCACTATGGTCCCACTGAGGAGACAAACATCAGTCACTGGTGAACACCATGACAGTCAACGTGTTAATATTAACCCTTTGCACTCGAGAGGTAAGCTTTAGTCACCATTTTATAAAATTTGGAAGATCGATATTAATCCGTAAGCTACTGTGGGCGTCCATAGGCGCTTAGAAATTTTGCATTTGTGACACGAAGGACGTCTATAGGCGCTTGGAAATTTTGCGTTTATAACACGCAGGGCGCCTATAGGCGCTCGGCGTAGATTGGCTTTCTGACACGGAGGGCGCTTGTTTTCACAAAAATGGCGCACATCGTAACTCAATTCCTGCCGTATGGCACGGTATCAAAATCTGCCATAGTCAAAGGGTTAATTAATATATCAAATATAATGTAATGTAACAGTGTGCGAGGTATCTAAATCAAACAATTCCACCATTCTATTATTATACAATTCTTTATTTACTGCTCAAAAAAGTATCGTCAGTGTCTTAGCAGAGAATCTTTGAATTTCCACTCCACTTTAGCCAAAAAATTGTCGAGTGCAAAGGGTTAATATTAACATTATTACAATTTAATTAAGATTAGTGTTGAAATTATTCACAAATCCCTTAGAATTCTTTGGAAAAATTCTATAATAAATATACAAAGGGGATGGAAGGGTAGAAAGTGTCAGAGAACAAGGTCCATCTAGTTCCTTTAGAAACACTAGGGAGAATTTAACCTCGAACCTGTAGCTTTCCGTGAATGTCGATCCAAAGACCTCGTCATTGATCGTCTCGCAGTAATTTCGACTCACTGACGCTGTCGTCACTTCACTCGAGTCTAATTAACGTCAGCTCACCATCAGGTGTACGAAGGTGAACGTACTCTTGTCAAACATTCGCATAATGAGCCAACCTGCTCGGGTTACGAAGCAAATTTGACTCGGTCGCGAACGTCAGCTGATTTGATGATGAAGCACTTCGATCGCTATCGATAAGAACGACTTCGTGGAAGATACGCAAGCGTGATGAAGCGGTTAAACGCGATCGGTGGAATTCGCGTGGGTACCAAAGCGGACAAACATTGGACCAGATCAGGCAGACACGTTCTTGCGTTATAAACAATATGCAGGTGCGGCCATTTTAAAGGCCTCGTCACCGTCAAAGAATCGGGATTTTTTGAAACCGTGTGAATGAGCTAAGCTCAATTGGACCTCGATATTACGTATATTAAATACAATTAGATCGTACATCCAGCAAACTTTCAGATATATAATCAAACGGACCTACGCCTTTGAACCTAACCTCAAAAATTTTTATTTCAAAATTTAATGCACACTATTTAACTGTATAACACGGTATAGAATTATACTAGATGATTATGGAAGTGGATTATATTATATTCGGGATATTAAAAGATTAGCATTTAGACAAATTTAAAATTAATTATCCTACTATACATATGTATGCAAATTTTTATTTCAAAATTTAATGTATGCAATTTAACTATATAACACGATGTAACACTATGCTAGATGATCTTGGAAGTGGATTATATTATATTCGGGATATTAAAAGATTCGATGGTAGACAAATTTAAAATTAATTATCGTACTATACATATGTATACAAATTTTTATTTGAAAATTTAATGCATGCAATTTAACTATATAATACGAAGTAACATTATACTAGATGATTATGGAAGTGAATCATACTATATTCGGGATATTGAAAGATTTGTGTGTAGACAAATTTAAAATTAATTGCCGTACTATACATATGTATGCAAATTTTTATTTGAAAATTTAATGCATGCTATTTAACTATATAACGCGATCTAACATTATACTAGATGATTTTGGAAACGGATTATATTATATTCGAGGTATTAAAAAATTCCATGGTAGATAAATTTAAAATTAATTATCCTACTATACATATGTATACAAACTCGATCCAACAATTCTAATTTTTGTTACTTCCCAAATAGAGGTTTATATTATAGTTATATAAATGGATACAACACAAAATAAGCGAAAAATTAATTTTTCCAGACTTTTTACTTTAACTACTATCCTAATTACATATAATTTAATAACATATATGAAATTTACTACACGAATCTATGTGAATCTTATCATCATGCAAGACAACAAAATTTTATAGCTTATGTCATACTTCGATACGCGATATAACAAACATTTTAACCACGACTAACAGAAAAATTCTGTAGATTCGGATCTATTTACAATTCTTCATAATACTATACAGACTTATAAAACGAAACTCGAGACCATCTCGCAGAAGGAAATTTCTGACAGCCAAATAATCGGACGAAATATGATTATTTACGAGGAAAAAAAGTTGGAAGTCGATTAAGGTAACGAGCCGGTACAAATTGATTCCATAAATATTGCACAACTTTCGATTGCCCGAGCTAGTCTTTAAGAACTCATTAGGCTTCTCTGGAAGGCGACATTAAATAATGAGATACAGCGTTTCTGCCACGGTAACCGCACTAAAAGTCACAGTCGGTCGAGGCGTCCTAAAATTAATCGACGAAGAGGAACATCCGACGGTATCGATTGCTCTCAGGCATTGTCAGCGAGTTCACCGGTTTACGTAATCGTGCTCACGCGGTAACACGTAATTAAAACGCAACGAAGACACTCGTTGGGATATGAATGACGATTGGCACAGGTGCGGCCGCCGTTTTAAAGGCAAACTCATCGCGAAGGAATCACGGATTTGAGAAGCTGCAAGTGGGCGCAAGTCACTTACCGCTGTCGCCCCCGTTTCTGTGCCCCTTTTTAATATCTCTGTCGGTGTGTAGCCGCTTGACCCACTTCGCAATGATTGGTGTGAAAGTGGAAAAATCGCCTAACACGAGTAATTTCTCTTATCCTTTGTTCTGCTCTGATTCGAAGTTGCGAGTTTAAGCTTAAGATCGGTTAAATGTAGCATTAACTTTCCCAACTGGAGTACAGGAGCCCTCCTACAACACGACATCCTGTAACACGGTTTCACTATAACACGATTCATAAATTACGGGAACTCTCCTACAACACGGCATCCTATGACACGTGTTGGAAAAAGACATGTCCCTCTTCGGTTGAAATAGAAAACGTGCGTGAATCGTCAGAAAATGAAATTAGTGGCATATTAGAACTTGCTAAATCAATCGAAGGCGAAGGTTTTGTGGATATGGCTATTGAGGACGTTCGAGATTTATTAGTGGAAGAAGAAGTCGACGATGCGGATTTGATGGAAATGGCATCTGAAGCTGTAAATCAAATCGATTCTAAGGACACTAGCGCTGATGAAGATTGTGCAATTACTAATTTATCATTAAAAAAAGTTCTGAAAATGAAGGCGACATCATTCCACCGAAAAAACGTTCTCGGTTGATTATACTGAGCAGTGACGACGAAGAAATTTATTAAATTAAAGTTGCGATAAATTAAAATAATATTTTTCTTTCTTTTTTCTTTTGTGTTGCACATACATTTAGATTTTTAATCAAAATTAAGTTGTTTGTGTAGAATTAAAAAAGAAATTTGTTCTCAGTAAGTTTTCGGAACGTAATCTCCCTTTTTGTACTAGCTCTGGGTCTCATGCAACACGGTTTCACATAACATAGCATTTTCTAGGAACTTATCTACCGTGTTATAGGAGGGTTACCTGTATTTCGCTGCGGATAATTCGGATTTAACGATTCGTTGGGTACTTCCTTGGAATTGTGACTCGAGTACGTTTTGATTACGGTAAATCACGGGGAAGAAGTATTTGTGGTTAAATCTGATGATTTTTGTGGATGATCAAATGTCTGGAGCAATATATTTGCTGAAGAATTATCGTAATTTTTGTCGGTATTCTTACCAGGGTCGATGAGAATATTTCGAATGTATGTAAGATGGGACAAATTAATAAAACAATAAAAAAATTATGAAACTCTTTAAATACCCCTCTTGGAAAAGAACGACATCCCACTTTGGTGTGCTAAAGGTTAACTGCATCATTCTGCCGTAGCTTTAGTGGAAAATACGGGAGAAATTTCAAATACTCGAGGATTTAATCGCTGTTACCTAGAATGTTCAACGATGCCAAGAAAATTGCGATTATTCTAATTCTTTTTCCAAATAATTTCAATATTTCGAATATACAAAAATGGAAAAATTTCAGGGAGATTAATATATTTTGAATTTTTATTTTACTTTTCTATTTGTACAAAATTATTAATTTGCTATATGACAATCTAAAGATAGATAGGAATATTAACTATAACTTGCATTTCTTTCTACAAATTTTACTCGTTTGCAAAAATTCTGTGAAAATAGAAAAGCTTCTTATATATTCTCGCATGCTGAAACCGAATTTGACAGCAAAATGTGCTTATCCTCTTAGCTCCATGAAACAAATATTTAAAAAATATCCATATTGGCTACTTTTACAAAAATATTCCAAAGTTGTAGTTTTCAGTATTTCTTAAAACTAATGCTATATATGTGAGTATTGGTTTTATATGTGTGAATGGGAATGAGATTGAATAAGTGAAACTCATTCGAGATGATATAAATATAATATGTGTAAGTGCAGTCTAGTGCGAATGATGTTTGAGAAATGTTTAGAAAAATGTGTCAGAATAAAGCAGTCATGTGAGAATCGTCAAAGAGGAAACATAGGTATATAATGCTTAATAAGAGTAAGAAGGAAAGAGAAGAATTTTCTAGAAAGTGTCAATCAATTTTCTTGTTTAAAATAGTTTATCGCGAGTTGTTTTCATTATTTAAACATTTTTATCTAAATATACTAGCGTGTTAACTGTTAAAAAATGTAGAAAATATTGATGTACATTTCTATCTACAGTTTTAACCCCTTCTTCTACGATTTATCTTCTAGATAAGGTCAAGTCACCTCTGTCAATTTGACTTCGAGTCAATGAAGTCGATATGTATTCATATAATATGCTCGGTTCTTAATAATACAGAGGAATATTAATTATAATTTGCATTTCTTTCTACAAATTTTATTTATTTGCAAAAATTTTGTGAAAATATAAAAGTTTATATAATCTCACGTGTTGAAACCAAATTTGACAGCAAAAGTGCTTATCCTCTTAGGTCCACGAAACAAATAGCTCGGTTCTCAATAATACAGAGGAATATTAACTATAACTTGCATTTCTTTCTACAAATTTTACTCGTTTGCAAAAATTTTGTGAAAATAGAAAAGCTTCTTATATATTCTCGCATGCTGAAACCGAATTTGACAGCAAAATGTGCTTATCCTCTTAGCTCCATGAAACAAATATTTAAAAAATATCCATATTGGCTACTTTTACAAAAATATTCCAAAGACAGTGAATTTTTCCCAATATCTTTATCAACTGCTATGAATAGCACTAACCTTCCCTCATAAAATAAAACTTGATTTATAATCAGCCTACTCTTCCTTGTCAAGATATACCGCTTTAAAATAGCTCGAGGAACCCTATAACTTCGTCTTACACTGTACAATCATTACTATAATTTCTGCATGACTAAAACTCAAAATTAATTTAACATACTATTTCTCAAAAACAAAATATCAAAATGTCATTATGACTATCTCAATTCCCTGTCAAGCGGAACTCGCGACCGCTATAAATATCCTTATACCCCTTCGCCATTTCCTCAAAAAATTACCTCAACTTCGCCACAGACTGAACCTAAATTCGCGCCAGACAGGAAGCCGTAAAGCTGGCGAAGCTTTATCTCGAGCCTGTCGGACACTTGCCTCCTAGCTGTCAAACAAGCGGGCAACAAGGAGGCATCGTAAACGCGTTGCAGGACCTCGCTGCGGGGTCCAGCTCTCCAGAGTCCCGGCGCCTCGATTACCCTAATTACTCAGGCACGCATGCACGAAGCGTAACAACGTGTTTTCATTTCGCATGCTGTCAAAACGAGCGGGGACTAAATGTCGGTTTCCGTCCCGAGTCGTTCCCCGTAGTCTGTACCAGAGGTCAGCTCATGAGAACAGGTCCACGGAGTCTTTTTGCCCGGGCCAAAAGCGGTGATCAATCGCGTGGCCCCGCGTACTTTTCCGCCATTTCGTCGCCATTTCGTCGCCATTTCGTCAACATATTTTTCAAGCGAGGGGAAATAAACGCGGGACCGTGTTTCCCCGTGTGGCTGAAGAGGCAGGCCGTTGCTGGCTGACGTGTCCGACTCCAGTCGGCAGACGTGTGGACGCGAGGCACGTGATGGAGGAATCGTTCGATCCATGGCGAGTAAATGACACGAGCGTATCAGGTTCTGAGGAATCTGCGAAAGAGAGGCCAATCAAGGTTGCGACTGGGTGTGGTGAGGTGCACACGAGCCTGCGCACGCGGAGCCCATGGCTTCCCTATACGCAGCCTGTCCAACCCGTTTTCGGTCCCAATGTAAGCCAGTCTTTTTTCCATTAAGACTAATTGTCTTTCTTCCAAAGCACCGTCTGTCAACGGGTGCTTTTGTTCCGACAGCTACGCAGCTTCGATCGCGTTTCCAGTCGGTCGTTCCTCTCTTGCGGTGTCCTGCCTATCACGGTGCACGTCGTCGCACCAAGGTCGACGTCTGCTTTTGGACATTCTCGGAATTCGATGAGAAAGGTTCGCTTAACGTCACCAACTGACGCGTTAAATGGCTAACTCGGCTTGACACGGTCCAGGTTTCTCGTCAGCGTGATCGTTTTACGGGCAGAGTTCGCGACTCGTTGATTTTTGCGGGGTTTCAACAGGAATTGACATTTGAGCTTCGATCCGGGAAACGATGGGATACCGAGGTTCGGAGATAACGAGGTTTACGGTTATGAGTTTTGAGATTGGATCAACCAGGATGATATTGCAAAGTCATTAGGAGACTCGGGTCATCTTTTTTAGGTTTGATGCAGATAAAAGTTGATATTTCCATTTCATATCAGACGTTTTAAAGATGACTAATCCGGTTGTTAATTTTTAGTACGGGTTGTCACTTTTTGGAGGTCTAAGTCTAGTCTTCGTTTAAATTTTCCCCGAATCCATCGACCTGACTTCGTATCAAGTTTGTCAGACAAGGCCGGGTCTATTAAAACGCGGTTTTACGTGACTAATTTCGTCGGTGTAGTCCAATAACAGTTATTAATCCCAACGAAGTTAATTATACGATTCTAAACTTCCTGTTACCTTCTCCTCGCTAAAGACTGAACAAATTCCACAGCAGACAAATCCTTTTTTCTTTCATCAAACTAGTTCTGATTTCGATCACATTATATTCGAGTGACTGTAACACGATTCCTACACAATGTAGCCGAGAGAATAACAATCTGAGCAGGTTCAGTTGTCCAAGATGACAGGTTGTCTGTTTCTAATAACGAAGCTGGAGTAACGGTACAGCCAGAAGGTCCCTTCTAGACACGCGTTGTTTCAATTGAACCTTTTTCCCAGAAATAGCAAAATAAATCACTTCGACATAACGTTACTTCGCGTCACCAGGGGCGGATTGAGATTTTCGGAAGCCCCTAGATAATCGAGGCTCCTGAGAACAATGAATTTGGTTCTATCCAACATCTGCTCTCAATCTCATCCTTTCTTCCTTTGTCTTGTACACAGATACACGCGAATGTACAATAATATTGCTTATTTATTTATCTATTAGATTGGCAACTAAGTGATTGGGGATTTTAAATAAAAAGGAAAATACAAAATTTTTTGGTGAATCTCAGATTTTGGTGTCGTCTGAGCTGGTTCATCTTGCATCACCCACGATCTTTTCCGATTAACGTTGTTTTAAACTATCCACTTTTCTTCGACAGTTATCAGTCGTTTCAGAAATTGATCAATTTCGTTGCGTTTCAGAAGCGAATCGCAGATGCTAATGCGTTGCGTCAATTGAATTTCCTGAAGCTGATGAGGGATCCATAAATCGAGTTTCTTGACATAGCCAAGCTGTTTTAATTTTTCTTAAATGCATGTATGCGATACATTGAACTTCTCTGCAATCTCACGTGTTGCGCTATGACGATCTGAATCGATAATGGCCTCGATATGGGTCTCATCAACTTCAACTGGACGGCCAGATTGTTGCGCATTTTTCAGTGAAAAATCACCATAATGAAATTTGGCAAACCAATTTTAACACTGTCTTTCTTTCGAGGCTTCATTCCCATATACTGCACGTAACTTCTTGCGTGCTTGCGATGCGTTCTTGCCTTTTCGGAAATAAAACAATAAAATGTGTCCGAAATGCGCGTCTTGTTCTTCCATTTTTAAATTGGGATGAAAACGAAACTAAATAACTAATCGATACAATTTTTCGACTAAATTAAAGGCGGAAGTCCAAACAACAAGGAAACAATATAAG